GATCTAGTTCAGAGATTATTTGCTCCAATAAACTTTTTCTGGAGATGCTATATGTAAATTTCTCTTCAGCACAGATTCAAAACATTTACTGCTCCAGGGAATAAACAGGCTGGTTTTTTTTTTTTAAATATTAAAAAGATATGATTCCAATAGCCAATAAGATTAACAAATGAGTTTGCAGTGATCTTGTTAAAAAAACAACCAGAATGACTTTGCAAGAACCTTGCCTTTGTAGAATCTAGAATCATTTTCAAATAAATATAATAAAACCATCATCCCTTAGCCACACATTTTTTTGTACTTTAGAGTAGTGATGGCCAAACACTATATTTATTTATGTTTATACCTATGTTTACTGCTGAAGAGGTCTAGATGTCTTGTCTAAAACGCCTCCTGTTTCTTAAAGGGAGCTAAATGATAACAATTCAGATCCCCCATCTCACTCAGAAATTTATCAGCATAGTAAGATATGTGTGTAGCAAAATTTTCTTTGACAATTCCTGTATTGACTTTATTATTGCATCATGTAGTCCACATGTCTGAATAATGTCTGTTATAATTTGTGATAACAGGATTTAAATTGTTAGATATAGTGAGATAGTTGATAGCTCTATCCTCCTGAAATTTTTTTTGAAGATTTTACTTATTTATTTGACAGAGAGAGAGACACAGAGAGAGAGGGAACACAAGCAGGGGGAGTGGGAGAGGGAGAAGCAGGCTTCCCGCCAAGCAGGGAGCCCAATGCGGGGTTCGATCCCAGGACCCTGGGACCATGACCGGAGCCAAAGGCAGACACTTAAAGATTGAGCCACCCAGGTGCCCCTATCCTCCTGAATTTAATGGAGAGGGATCATGTTTGTAAATGAGAAAACTCAATATTGTAAAGATGCAAATTCCCCCAAGTGAATCTATAAAATGACATGTTAGTTGGAATCACGCTGAACAGGGTTTTTCACATTGAACATGTTATAAAATTCATTTGGAATTTTACAAATAAAATTTATATATTTACATATTTATTAATATATTTATATATTTAATACATATTAAATATATTTAGCATATATTAAATTAATATATAATATATAAATAGAAAATATATAAAAATATATAAAATATATTAAATTAATGAATATTTTAATAATACATTTTACCTTATAAAAAAGTCCAAAACAATTTGACAAAGAATAAGAAGGAAAGCATTTCTCTTACTTGAAATCAATCCATGTTACAAGGTATAGTAATTAAATGGTTAAAACTAATAGCTTAATGGTCAGATTTTCCAAAATAGTTTTGGCATCTGATTTATGCCCCAGGTGCTATAAGGAATAGGAAGAGCAATGTGAGGGTTTGAGAACATGGGTAGATCAGGAAATACCTGGAGGGAGTGGACAGTTGAGGTAACCTTTAGCTCTCCCCTTATCCAAGGTCTTAGCTCCCAGAGGTATAAGAGGAACTTAAGCTTATCAATGCTGGAAGTGGATGTGCCATGTGTTGGGAGGGGTAAGGAAAATACGCCCTTTTCCCTCCATTAGTTAAGATTCTTGACTGTGAACAAGGATGCCCTTGGACAAATCCTTAGACTAGCTCTCCCTTTATCGCACTCAATAGAAAAAGAATCTTCCATGGGATCAGAGTTAGTTTTGCTCCTACAAAGGAGCCCCGCCCCTGGAAATTCTGCAGGAGCTGTACTCCCCTTCTCTGAGATCAGCAGCAGCAGCTCCGACCTGTCCAGCCTTTGACTTTGGCTGACAGTTCTGATGATGTGTTGAGCAGCACGCACCCTTGCTTGTTCCTGCACAGGTTTATTGGTTCTGCAAGTTTTAAAACTCATAAAAAATGTTTTATCAGTGAAAGAAGCCTACAGGGAACAGATGATTGTGTAAGAAGGCATCCTCTTCCGTGGTCTAATAACCATAACCAGTTTTAAATATTACACATCATAATATCAATAAAGCCTTGGTCATTTGTTATCTACTTTTCAAATCTTCTCCTTTCAGTAAAAGATATTAGAAAAGGTCAGAGCTCCTGTCAGACCCCAGTGATAAAGAGCAGGATGGTGCTTCGGAAAATGGTAGTTCTCACAGCGTTCAGGACTATAAACTTTTTAAATTGAATTGTAAAAGTTTATAACTAATAAAGAAACTCTTTTCGGTGATTTTAATGTTATTTGGTCGTTTGGAATATTCCACAGATGGAAATAGATGGTAAGGTCATGAAGTGGGTGAGCATTCAGCATCATAAAATGCAAATACATTTTCTCCACATTAAAGATGCAGCAGTGTAGTCGCACTAATGTTATAGGTCATTATCTGGTTTCTATGAAGATCAGGTACTTTAACATGGCAACATAAATAGAGAAGGGGCTGAGGCTTCTGCTGGCAGGAAAGGGGCTGAGAACAGACAACAGAGCTCCTTTTGGTAAAATAAATATATATTTCCTATTTTCTCCTTCAAATGACCTTGACCAATTCCTTTCTTGTGCTGGGTAAAGAACAATTCACCCTAGATGAGAATGGAAATTCATTTTCAGCAAAGGATAATTTTAATAAGAGGATTGGTTTCTAGGAAGGCAAATACACTATATTGTGGATTCCTTGAGGGTACATTCCTGGTGTTTGGTTTCAGGGTCATTCACTCATTCATTCAGCAAATAATTAGTGAACATCTACTCCATGCGAGGCATTTCTCTAGACACTTAGGATATATTAATGAACAAAATAGGAAAAAGAAGTCCCTTTATGGAATTTACATTTGAGCAGAATAGGTGGGGCAAAAAACAATACATAAAATAGTTAAGTAAATTAGTATGTTATTGTAAGCAAGATAGTATGTTCAAAAGTGAAAAGTGCAATAGGAAAAAGAAGAGTAAAGCAGATTTGATGTGATTAAGGTGGCTGGGATGAGGCATGAAGTCACCTAGAAAATAACTCCTACTATTTTAATATGCATCCTGCAGATTTTTATTTTACAGTGCCTACACATGCATGTATTTTGAACAATGATCGATTCTGATGAATACCCAGCATTGTTGCTTCCTTTTATTCAATCAACCCCATGTCATAAAAATTTTCCTTGTCAACGACTATTTTTCTTAATGTAAATAAAAAAACATGGTAGTTAGGGAGGTCCTCTTGGAGAAGGGGCTACTTGGGCAGTGACTGGAAGAGAATGAGCCAGAGACATGGGGAAGGGTGTGTGCCTGGCATGTCTGAGAGGCAGCAAGGAGGCTACTATGGCTGTAGAGACAAGAGCAAGCAGGCGAGAAGCAAAGGAAAGCAGAGAGGGAAGGGGTAGGTGGTGCTGAATCATTTAGGGCACTGAAGGCCATTGTCAGAGCTTTGGCTTTTGCTTTGAGTGAAATGGGGTGCCTTGCAGGCTTTTAAGTAGAGAAGTGACATGGCATAATTTATGACCTAAAAAGAACTCTCTTAAAAAGACATCTGCACCCCCATGTCACTGCATGGGCTATGTCTTAGCTATTGTAAATAGCTAAGACATGGACAACCGAAGTGTCCATCAACGGATGAATGGACAAAGAAGATGTGATATGTGTCACACATATTATTCACCTACAGAAAAGAAGGAAAACCTGCAGATGGATCTTGAGGGCATTATACCAAGTGAAATAAGTCAGACAGAGAAAGTCAAATACTGTATGATCTCACTTTAAGATGGAATCTAAAAACACCAAACTCATAGAAGCAGAACAGATTGGTAGTTGCCAGAGATGGGGGGTGGGAGTAAGGAAATGGGTGAGAGTGTTCAAAAGTTCTAAGTTAAAATTCTAAGGTAATTAAATGCTGGAGATTTAATGTACAGCATGGTGGCTATACTTAACACAACTGGATTGTACCTCACAAGAGAGTAGATCTTAAAAGTTCTTATCATAAGAAAAAAATTGTAATTGTGTGTGGTGGTGGATGTACCAGGAAACTTATTGGGTGACCATTTCATAATATATACATGTATCAAGTCATTATGCTGTACACCTAAAACAAATACAATGTTATATGGCAATTATTATCAATAAACTGGAAAGAAAAAGAACCCTCTGGAGACAGGTTGAAAGTACACTGTTAGAAGGCAGGAGGTGAAGCAGAAAGACCAGCAAGGAATCTATGTCAGCAATCCTGGAGAAATGAGGATACTCGGACCAAGTGGGGCATTGGAGATGGCGGGATGTGATCAGACTCACTATGTTTGACCCTAGAGCCAAGAAGAGTTCCTGCAGATTTTCTGTGCACTGTCTCAGAAAGGAGGAGCCAGGGAAAGTTCCAGCATTCTTGGCCTGACCAACTGAAGGACAAAGCTATCATTTCCCTAACGGTGGAAGGCTGCAGGAGGAAGTGGCTTCATTTCCACTTTGGACAAGTTGAGTTTGAGGTGTCTATTTAGTCATCCAAGTGGAGATGCCAAGTAGGTAGTTGGATATTTGGCAGAGTCACGAATTTGAGAGAGAGGTCTTGCTAGGGATATGAATTTGGAAGTGATCAACACATCTGATATTTAAATCTAAATATCATCTGATATCTGATATTTAAGCTCTGAGACTGGGTGAGATCCCTACAGGCGTGAGTGTAAAGAGAGAAACAAGAGGTCTCAGAAGTGACTTGTGACTAGCTCAGTGAAAGTGGAATGGATAAACAAATTAGATGAGTCATAACAGCAATTAGCACATTTCTCCACAAAATGGTAACTCAGATAAATAGCCTTAGATACGTAGTTTGTGAAAGCAACACTGTGAAATTATTTATAATTCGAAATGTGGCTTCTTCTAGGTCCAGGGTGGAAGTGGGGACCTGATGAAGAAGGTCACAGGGAGAGGAGTAATCACAACTGCGCCATATTTGTTCACTCATTCATGTATTCCTTCCTTCCAACAGATACATTTTAATGGCCTTGTATATGCCAGGCATTAATCGCTCATGTTGGGCACTTACAATGTTTTGCCACCCAGCATCAGTTTCTACTTTCTGACCACCTTAAATTTCTTTCAGGTATTACTGCTTCCAGCTGTGGGCCACCTTGCAGAGGCAGTTAACCCACAAGCCAATACGGCATGGGTACTTCCAGGAGCCCAGGCATATGACCTAAGCTTGGCCAACTAGACTCTCTACACCAGCATTTCGGCCTTTCAGCAAGGAAAGAAGAAATGACTAGTGGCCCACCAGAATATCATTCAAGTCACCATCGCAAGCCACACATACAACTTTAAATTTTCTAATAGCTACCAAAACAAGGTAAGAAACAGGTCTAGCTAATTTTAATTATATATCTTATTTGACCCCATATATCCAAAATATCAAGGTGTAATTATTATAAAAATTATTCACAAAGTTTTACACTATTTTCCTTGTACTAAGTCTTTGGAATCAGGTGTGCATTGTACATTTGCAGTGCATCTCTTTTTGGACCAGCCATGTTTCGGCACTCGTTCGTCACTCGATCGCCACATGTGGGGTGTCACTGTGTTGGAGAGGGTAGGATCCGAATTCATTCATTTCAGCAGCAGTTCACTAAGCAGACAGAACCTTCTTCAGGCTCTCAACAGCAGGGCTTGCTTCCTCACCCTCCAGAGCTTCCTCAGTCTTTGGGAAGCCCTCTCCACTGTGTCCCGCCTCCTGATAAGAGCAAGTCAGTAAATTTCCAGAAGCCTAGAATGCAGTTTCTTTTGCTTAGGTTGTTAGAGTAATTTCCTGTTACTTGCACTCAAAGAAACCTCACCGCTGTACTCCTTTTCCAATGGAAAACAAAGAAAGATGTGTGCTGGATCAAGACCTTTTCACAAGGGTAGTCAAGAAGATTAAACCTTCAAAAAGGATAACGTGAGTTTGCATGTGTTTAGATGGAAAAAAAAAAAATCTCCAAAATAGAGCTTTGGATGAAAAGACAAAGATGCATAAAATGTGTATAGTATGATCCTGTTTGTATAATTGCTTCAAAAACCACACATGTGTGTCTATTTGTGGGTAAATACACACATACAGTTATTACATGGAAAGGAACTTGTGGAACAGGGGTGACCTTTAGAGAACATGGATGGGCAATGGGCAATAGGTAGTTATGGGTTGAATTGTGTTCCCCAATCATGTGTTGAAGTCCTAACCTCAGTTCCTCAGAATGTGACCATGTTTGGAAAGGGGTCTTTGCAAAGGCAATTAAATTAAAATGAGGTCACTCGAGTGGCCCCTAATCCAATATGACTGGTGTCCTTGCAAGAATCCGCGGTTTGGATGCACCACATATGATAAAAGAAAGAGTTGGCAATGTGAAGAAACAATGGCCATCCCCAAGCCAAGGAGAGAGGCCTGGAGCAGATTCTTCTCTCATGGCCCTTAGAAGAGCCCACCCCTGCCAGCACCTGAGTCTCAGACTTCTAGTTTCTCTGTAACTGAGAGAAAATAAATTTCTGTTGTGGAAGCCACCTCGTCTGTGACCCTTTGCTGTGGCAACCCCAGAAAACTCATACCAGGGAGTGGTTAAAAAGAAAGGTGGACTTCTACTTATTCTAAAGGTTTCTGTTCTAATATTTTTACAACATGTACTTCTACATAAACATCAAGAAATGGAAATATTACAGAAAGAAGACTCAGGGTCCTCCCTGACCTTCCTGTATCCCTCTGCTTCCTTCTTGGTACACATTCCCTTCTTGAAATTTCACCACAAATGAAGCAAGCTTCTAGGACCATGACATCTCCAAAGGCAGGAAGGTAGAACTTAAGACTTAACTCTTCCTTGTTCAGCTATTGTACTTGCCTGCTTGTTTAATTGTGGGTACACAGTGATGGTCATTGGAATGATTATGGAGTCATCTTTGTTTTATTTCACTCTCTGTTCTTTTGTCAAGTTCATTATTATACTTTTATGAAGTTCCTCAACTAGAACTACTTAAGTTACAGGTCTTTGCTTGTAGGCAACAGGATGTATACCTTATAATCTTACGCAGAAAAAAAATCATTGAAAAGAAAGAAGGGACCTCACGGGTTCCAAAGGAAAGCTCTAGAAAGAGATTTGGAAACAAAACAAGAAGGCAACAGAGTTCATGGGGGGAGGGGAGTCATAGCCAGACTGATGGGCTCTTACTTTAGGATGCCACCAATGAAGTTAATCAGCCTATGCTAGTTCTTTTTTTGTTTGTTTGTTTGTTTCTGAATCATTTCCTTTGGGATTCCATACTCAAAGGAAAAAGTGTCTAATAAGCTTATGTTGGTTTATAGGCCCATCCCTTAATCAGGAAAGGAAGGTACTCTCTCCAGCAGGGAAAGTGCTCACTGCAAGGCAGATCCAATGTGCTTTTGCCAGAAGAAAGAGATCCCAAGTAGCAAAAATAACACAAGATTTCTCTTGGATGATCATTGATTTGTTTATTCCATGATATAAAAGTTATCTGACCAGGGGGCCATGTTGGGCAGGAAGATCTTTCCTACAGCATCATTTCCCAAAGGGCAGAGTTGGATTTATTGTTTTCTTATAAGACATCCAAGATGATGAGTGATTGATAGGTGTCTAGAATTATAATGTGAAATAAATTCCATTACATTCTACCTAGATAGCTTTCTTTCTACTTGTTGTGTGGGTCCCTTCCCTAGGTTTTGCCTCTTACTAGAAATTGGTCTCCCCTTTCAAGGCAATGATCACTGTGTTGGCCAGACCTTACCTCATTTTTCGGGTAATTGAAAAATCTATCCAACACCCTCATCAGTGGGCGGAAAAAATGTAGACTATTGAAATCTCTTCCTTTCATCCATGTATTTACAGACCCAGGGAACGTTTGAGTTAATCTCTTTATGAAACAAATTTTAGAAACACATTTCTTAAAGTTTAGAATTAAGTTATTCAAAGGTACATATAATTATGGCCCAAACACTTGATTTCATTAACTCCAGTAGCATATTACATGGATTTGGGTTATGGTTATGAAATCATGGATTTATTTTTACCTAGTTAAATGTTGAAGTTTAGGTCTAGTTTTTGATCATACTCCCCAAAAGTATGGTTGAGATTTTTGTAATGCAGTTGGAAACAACATGAGCTCCTGGAGTCGGGCAGACCTGTGTATGATAGGTGTAAAACCAGTTCTCATTCCAGGTGCGAAATCCGTACCGAATGCTAACTGCAATGTGTGGGCCTTCTGGAAGAGAACGTGTGGGCAACATTCAACAAATGTAAGTGCCTTTTCATTCATGCTCCTTTTTAAAAAAAATATACTTTTTTAAATTGAAGTGTAATTAATATACAACGTTATATTAGTTTCAGGTGTACAACATAGCCATTTCATGGCTTTATACATTACTCACTGCTCACCAAGATAAGTGTAGTCCCCGTCTGTCACCATACAGTGTGATTACAATATTATCGACTGAATTCCCTGTGCTGTATTTTCATCTCCATGACTTATTATTTGAGTGGCTATGCTAGGCAGAAGAGAAAGGGGCAAGACAGTTGCAGGCACATGATTTGAACTGGAACCTGAATTCAAATCTGAGATCTGCCCTATTCTAGCCACGTGACGGCAGGTAAGTTTCTTAAATTCACAGAGCCTTAGTTTCTTCATCTATAGAATGGGGCTAAAGTATCTATTTCTTACTGTGATCTTTAGGATCAGATGAGACACTTGAGGGCGTCTATTTCCTACACATTGAGTACTCAATAAACTGTAACCATTGTGATTTGGCTACTAACATTTTACATGACTGACTCATTTCTTCTCTCTAGAACAAACATTCTGTAACCCCTTTAAAGAAGCTTAATGATTACTGGTTTGTTTAATCTGTCTAGGTCTGTTTGGTTTGCATGAATACAGCAGTTGAGACCAGAAAGCAGAGCAAATCATATAACCTACAATTTCCTAAATGCTTCTAGAACACTAGACTGCTATATGATGTAACAAAATGGGTCATCAGGAACATGTTTTCTGTTCAAACAGAATTGGGAAAACCTTAATAAAAATCAAACTGATGTGTTTATTGCAGGACTTTTCAGAGCCTTTAATATACTATCATTCATTGTGACTTTCTAGATGCAAGTAGTGTAGCAGAATTTTCTAACTTACTTGACAAAAAAAAAAAAAACAACACAAAAAACATTAATATGAGGTTAAGATATTCAGAAAACACTGTGAAGAAGGGATGGCATAGCTGTGTTACCAGCCACTTGCCAAGTGGCACGAGAAGTATTCACGGCAGACAATCCAACTTGCCCAGAGCGGCCATTGGGAATGTAATCTAATTCCTCTTGAAAAGCAGAATTATCCCCCCCAAATTGAGTTGCAGCCTATAAGGGAGAAACAAAATTGCCAACCCACTGTTCACACTTCTGCCCTGTCTGTAAATGTTAGGAACTACCATAAAAAGACATTTGAATTCCTGTGACAATAAATATGCAAATACAGATTTTCTCCAAATATGGCTAGGGCATCATTTTCCCCCTTTTACCACCTCAGACTCCCTAAACAGGTTTGAATCTGTTGACAAAGCTTTTTAAAGCCATCTAGCTGACTTTTTCTTTTGTATGCTAGCAATCTGTTCACGGTATTCCCAGGGAACTCAGATGGAGCGCGCTCTCTCTCTCTTTCCCTCTCTCGCTTGCTCACTCTCTCTCTCTCTCTCCCTCCCCCTTCCTCCCTTACTCCCTCCTTCCCTGGATCTCCCCCTTTCCCCTTTCTTATTTCTTGGCCATCTTGCCACTGGATGGACCAAGTGAAACTCATTCTATCACTAGCACATCAAACACCAGAACTTAGTCAATCCCACTCTATGCCATTGGCTAAGTAATTACTTGAAATTTGTTATCTGTAGTTTAACTCTCTGTTCTCAGTCCACCATTGACATTAGAGGAGTTTTACCTGCAGAAGAATGAGGTCCTGTTCTTTATGTATGAAATGTTCTGGTTTTCTCCAGACTTCTGTGCCCGAGTGAATCTCAGGCAAATAAACAAATAAATAAATAAATAAATAAAGTTCCGCACATCCGTCAACATTTAGAAGTGCAGTGAAGTTTCCCTCTAAAGTGGAAGCTGGAGATTGAACATGAAAGAAAAAAAAAAATCTTGTGGCATATAAAGAATTGCTCGAAGCTTGCACTTAAGATCAAGGAGGACCATTTTCTAAGGTTTAGATGATGCTGCTTGGGCAAGATTTTCTTTAGCCTCTTGTACAGTTGCTAAATTAAATGATAATATGCACATTGTCAGGATCCTAATGGTGATGGGCATTAAGATGGGATGTAGTCATGTCTTCATATTTTTGGGGGGAGTAATTGGAGCTTTGCAAAAGTAAGGCAGAATTGGGGAACAATGCAGGCAGGATCGATGATGTAGAAGCAGGTTCTGCACCATAATGTGAATGTCTATCTGTGCTGCCCACCCGTGTATGTCCAGTGCGCACACAGTAAGCACTGAATAACGGCTTGTTTAAGGAACAAATAGTTATCTTCAAAGAGGTGGCTTCAGCCATGGACACTTGTCCCCTCGATTTATGAAGTTGTATTCATGGCTAAGTTATGTCATGACTAAGTGGCGTGGCATCATAATTAACACTGGCCTTGGAGTCAGAGAGCCTTGAGGGTTAAGAGCAGGGTCAGCCCTGTCCCATCTGTGTGGCTTTGTGCAAGTCACCTCAGTCTAAACCTCACCCTCCTCATCTCTACAGTGGAGACGGTGACCACTAAGACAGATTCAGAGCAAAGATTGATTAAGACAAGGTATGTCAAACACCTTTGCATTGCACCTGCATTTTGTAAGCATTCACTAAATATTAATATTAATATGATGATAAACTTCGTATCAAATCAGTTCAAATAGAATAAATCCTCAGGTAGAGTAGTATAGAACCAGATGCTATGCAGTGTAAGTTTTATGCAGGCATTGGGTCCCAAATGCAGATGTGGCACTACCTTTCATTGTCCACAAATCACTGTCCTTCATCCTCAGCCCCACCCAGCATCATTGGAAACATCAGGGCTATAGGTGCTTAGCACAGCCCATGAGCGCCATATAGATAATCAGTTCAAAATGTTGCTCTGGATCAATGGTTTTCGACCAGGGACAGGTTTGCCACCCACCCCAAACCTAAAGAACGCTCAGCAATATCTGGAGTCATTTTTGGTTGTCACAAATGTGGGGTCGAGGGCAACGGAGTACGCTATGGGCTTCTGGTGGGTGGGGGCCAGGGATGAGAATGATCGGTAGCATCCAAACTTTGGAATCTGGGTTTTAAAAATAGGTGACTTTTTAAAGGCTCCATCAGAGCAAACATTTCTTGAGGTTAAATGATTTGTAAAATTATTTTCAGAGTTTAGAAAAGGGTTCAGTCAAGTGGCTTGGTTTAGCTGTGAGGACTGGGGAGCCCAAATCTGTTGTACTTCTGGGGTCCACTGGCCAGACAGCAGGGCCAGCACAGAGAGGCACAGCCTTACGAAAATATGCCTTGAGCAAATATTCTGCTCAGGAATGTTTTTAATGAGTCGTCTTAAAACACTCGAATGCACCGACTAGTGACAAAGATCCTAATTAACCCAGATTCCACTAAAAATAGGAAGAGCCCATGGCATTTAGGAAGAGTTATTTCATGAGTTGGCAAAACAACCCTGCGAGGTAGGCAGAGAAAATAAACCCTGGGGAATAGTGATAGCAACAACAACATCTCTCGTTTATTAAGTGTGGGCACTGTGTTACATGCCGTGGTAGAGCAGGATGAGGAGGACTTTGGGTTCTACTTCAGACCTATCACCTACGAGCCGTGGGGGTCTGGGAAAGGTATTTTTCCTTTCTGCCACTCGTGTTTCAGTCTGTAAAATGGGAACCGTGATGATGTGTGCCGCACGGGGTGGTGGTGAGAGTTCAAAAGAATAAAGTCTTCACAACACTCAGCGCAGTGACTGATGCATATGCTTCCAGGGAATGTGAGGTAATTCTCTCTGGGATAATCCTCACGAAAACTGTGGGGAAGGGAGATCCTCGAAGATGAGAACATTGAGAAATGAGAAAACCGTGTCAGAAAGAGATGAAGTGAGGTGTCTAAGTTCCCGCCAAGTAGCGAGTAGCCCAGTAGGGCCCACTTGGTAACCCTGGTCCTGGAAGAGCGTCTGGCGTTTGTGAGGACCCAGCACATGTCTGTCGAAGAAAGCTCCCTGCGCTGTCTCCTCAGCGATCGACATTTTAAGCTGATTTTGCCATTTATTACACCGCCAGCCTTGCTGTCCTCATACAAATGGGTTCTCAGGTCGCCAGCAGGTGCATCAGGGTATTCAAATAACACAAATGGCGCGTGTCACACGTGGAGAATTGCCCTTGGAGAAATAGTGAAAGGCGTGTCGGTGTTTCCAGCAAGAACTAGTTGTCAGCAGACATCGCGATGCCTGGCTGCTCGGGTCGCGTTGCCTGGACCTTATCACTGTAGCTTCCTTCAGGTGTTCACTCTTCACTGGAAGAGGCCTTGAGGGAGGGACAAGTCTGCACGCTGCCCAGCAAAATTAGGAAGAGCACACAGCGTGTGTGTGTGTGTGTAGGTGCCCATGTGTGTATGTGTGTGTGAATGTGTGTGTCTGTGTGTATGTACCTGTGTGCCCATGTGTGAGTGTCTGGAGGTACCTGTGTGTGTACATGTGTATGTACCCATGTGTGTGTATGTGAGTGTGTGCATGTCCTTCTGTGTGCCCATTTGTGTACATATGTGTATGCACGCATGTGTATGTGCCTGTGTGTGTCTGTGTGTGTGCCCGTGTGAGTGTGTGCCCATGTGTGAGTATGTTCCCGTGTATATGTGTGTGTGTGAGTCTGTGTGTGCCTGTGCTTCTGTGTGTGTGTGCGCCTGTGTATGAATGTGTATATGTGTGCACGCGCGTGTGCGCGCACGCCTGTGGGTGTGGACTCCGGTCGCAGACCTGAAGCAACCTCGCCTCGCAGTCACCCTGAAAAACGCAGTGGCATCTGACGAGGCTGACACTGGAGTCATGCGAACAGCTTGGAGTTGGGCTCCTCCTAATTATATTTAATTGCACAGCCCTGGATCTGACACGGAGTTTGGTTTGAGATGGATGGTGTGAAGGGTTGACTGTGTCTTCCCGGCTTGACAGGACTGAGATGGAAACAGTAGCAGATGACTGTGGCCTCACCCACAGCCCTGATGACCTTCTGTGGGAGCCTCCCTGCACGGCCCAGGGTTCA